GCTCAGCTGGAGAGTGACCCTCGGCGTGTGCTGGTTGCTTGGGCCAGTGCCATCGGATGCCAGGAAGACCAGGAGGGAGGTAGGGACTGCAGGTCTCTCAAAGCACACCTGGGCAGGAGGGCAAGAGAGACCCTGAGAATATGTATACAGGATACAGCCTTTCTGATCCCATATATGCAAGAGGGAAACAAAAAGGGAGCACAACGAGAGCAGGAGCAGAGTTATGGGGTCAGGGACCGCAAATGGGCAGGGCATGTCCCTTTCACTAGTCTCTTCCAGATGTACCACTCCTGCCTTGCCATAAATTTACGGCATCTGCACAGCTTCCATATTTGCTGCTCTTAAAATTGAGCAACACCTGACCTGGATAACCCCATTTTTTGCCCTCCCGTCACCAGGCTCTGACTCCCACTCCTCACAGTGCCGGCTGGACAAGTGAAGCACACAGAGAGCACCGCTATCAGCCCTGCCACCAAAATATTTCTATTTAAAACAAACAAACAAAAAAAACAAACACAAAAACTAGCCCCAGTACCCGGAGTGACTGCAAACCGTCCGTCAGCCAGCACGTAGAAAGATTTGTGGGAAGAAGCTTTGCCTGCTAGGAAAGCCGACAGCTCTCCACTTGTCTACAACCCCGAAGGCTACAAGGAGGCAGCTGAGAAACTCATGGCATCAGTCGCGGCAGGGCAGATGTTCTTTCAAAGTAAGGAGATAGAAATGTTTTTCTCCCGCACCCTGGTACCCCCCACCCAGTGCTGAGATGTGTTTTGACCAAGATCCACCCTACAGAGTGTTTTTGTTGAATGCTGGCATGAAGGGAGCCCAGAAATTCAAGGGGAAGGTGTATTTCAGAGGAGGACAAGTCCCAGCTGGTCGGGCACAGCCCAAGGAGCAGACTGCGGGAGCGGAGGGGACAACCACCTGACTCGCGATGGCAGCCCAAGCCTCGGGGTGGTTTGTGCCACATCAGGCATTGCTCACACACAGAAGGAGAAAACCTTGGGCTTCAGCCCAGGGCACCCACCTGGCAGGGAGGTTCTCGGCAAACACCCCAGAGCGAGTCCCCACCACTGCCTACACACGTCCTTGGCCAGGGCTTGCTCTCATGCAGGGCTGACCTGGCTGCAAGGAGTAAACCAGGAGGCTCAATCATTTTTATTTGCACATGCCCACTCTCTCCCTTGGTGAGAAAAGCAGAGGGAGAAAGGAAAAGAAGACAGATGAAGAAGACCCAGCAGTGCTCACAGCCTGCTCTGAGAAGCCCCCTAGGACAGAGCTGCAGCTGGGAAGCCCCATAGAGACGGCCAATTTTAACCCAGCCACCTCCTGCCCACCTCTCCAAGTGTGGTTCCTCAGGGGAAGAAAAATGGTTGGAAGAGTCAGGTGGGGCTTTCCCTAGACTACGCAGCTTAAGGTGGAGTGCTTAGTCTTTTCCTCCCTACAGGGCATCTACTTGGAGGTGAAGAACACCGGCCCCAACTTAGACCAACAGCCGTTGACTTTAACATACTAATTTTTTTTTTTGATACATATTACGTGCTTGTGTACCGCAGACTACCTTTTTAATTTTCCTCCCTCCCTCTCCTGCTTTCTGCTTAAATTTGCTGCACTTGACACATCCTAACTTGCTTAGAAACAACATTGATTTCTCTCCTCACGGGATGTGTTGGAAACTGAAAACAAAGTGTGGCTGAAGATCTCCAAATCTCCAACACAGGTGACGCAGGTGCAACAGCTTTAAAATGGGAGCCAGTGGCCACAAAACACACTCACACGTGGGTACACATGTGCATGAACAGCACTGTTCCTGCCCAGGCAGGCAGGCATGCTAGCGACTTGTCAACAAGAAGCTGTCTTTCCTAACCCAATATGTTACCAATCAGGCAAACTATTAAAAAAAGAAAAGAAAAAGAAAAGAAAAAAAAGAAAAAGGGCATATTTATTACTAGTCCATAAATAATTTTATGGGCGGAAAATAATAGCACTCCTAGAGAGAGCACGGAGAACCAGTAATGAAAGCCTTTAATATAAACATCCATAGAGGAAGAGAACTGACCACAAGCTCCAATAAAACTGGAACACACTTTAACCCCTGGGGAGAAGTGGAAAGCAAGCTTTCATCTAGGTAGGGCAGAGAGGGAGACTGCTGCTTTCTTGCTTGCAAAGGAGGAAAGGAGGCACATCTGTCACTGCCAGAGACTGAAACTGGAAAGTAGGTTGTGAACACACAGACAAGGAGGAAAAAAAAACAAAACAAAACCAAACCGTTAAAGGAAGTTCTTTGCAGAGAACCTTGGAGTCAATAGCCATGTTTATTGACTCGGGTCTAATGATTCACCAGTTGTCTGAGCATGTTGGGAAGAGGTCCTCTCTAGACAGCTTCAAGGAAAGCAGGGCAAGGCATCCCTCAAACTGCACACCAGAGCCCAAACTTTCCAGTAACACCAGGCAACAGCCACGAATCCTCTAAACTGTGGTCTGTGGTCAGAAGAAAAACACTATAAAAATAACACTGGCCTAACGCTCAGCTCTTCTCTCTCCTGCTGGGACAGAGAAGTTTTACCCTCCAGGTGCCTCCCTGGCTCTGTGGAGGCACCCCCTGAGTCCCCATTGTGCTCCAGAACCAGCATCTTGGGCACAGATGATGACTCCTTTGGTCTGGAGTCATCAGGGGGCAGGAGGACCTGCATGCCACAGCTAATTGCTGTGGGCTCAGGACCCCTTAGGATGGCAGAGTATATCCCACCTACCCTCTGCTGCTCTTCGCAGCCACAAGGAACAAGAGCAACTGGATCTTCAAACACAGCTTTTGTTCATCACCCTTTGCGGGTTTAATGGCAGAGCTTGACTATGAGGAATAGTCAGGAGCAAGTTGTTTCTCAGCCTCAACACATTTCTGTGGGCTTCTGGTTTCGGGCACAGCCCTTCTCTTGGCTATCTGCCCTAGGAAGGGTTTGCTCTTCACAGTAGGAACAGGGCAACTACATAACACCCAGCCACAGGCATTTGGGGTTTGTGAAAAGTTCAGTAAGATGCGAAGTCCTATGTGAGTGGTTTTTAAGACTTTTGTAGGACCTACAGGACAGAAGAGGATCAGTCTGTCACTGAAGCGCTGGAGCGAAGACAAGCAAATCCTTCTGTGCCCAACCACACATCCTCACTTACCTTGAGCCAAACTCCTGCACTGTCCAAGGGCACCCGCTCCTCATCATCTGGATCCTGAGCATTGGCTTGGCTGGGAATGCAGGGGAACCAAGCAACCAGGGAAAGATCCTTTGGCACTTCATGACGGTGGGATTTGCATGCCTGAAAGGAGGGATTTATTTGAAGCCAGAAAGAAGGAAAGTGAGAGAAAAACAACACCTATAAAACCTCAAGGAAGACCCAAACGTTGAGAAGGGTGCCAAGTTGGTACCTAACATGAAGACAATCAGGATGCGGGTTCCTAAGCAGGAGTGACATCTCACCACCCACACATGTGCACAGGAGGCCTTTGCCCTTTTGAGGTGATGTAAGTAGGCTATGTAAGCACCCAATGGTGTCTGTGGGGCTGAGTAAGAAATAATGAGCCAAGCTGTGAGATGGTAGGTAAGACCACAGCCTCCTGATTTTGGCTGTGCTGATGAGGCCTGAAGGTGTGATTCATGTGCCATTTGATGCCCCATGGTATCCCCCAGGCATTCCCTGCAGGCCTGGCAGACAAAGTCTAGGAGATCCGTGTGTCATTCTAGAGGAGCAGACACCTGAGTCTACTGCATCTCAGAATTTTACATTAGTTGAAGATGTCCCTGCTCACTCCAGGAGGGTTGAACTAGATAGCCTTTAAGGTCCCTTCCAACCCAATGCATTCTATGATTCTATGGTGTGGGAAAGTTAATCACGCTGTAGGTCAAGAAGATTGTTCCTTATACTAGGTTAATAGAAACATATATATAAAGGACTAAATGTGACCTCTCTGTATTTCTTGCCCTTCCTCAGCTTGCTGGGAGAGAACACACACACCACCCTCCCCAAGTTAACACTGATCAAGTAAAATCCCATCCTAGACCTCTAGATCCTGCTCCAAAGCCCATATTAAAGATGGGAACTCTCCCATCGATTTTTCCTTGGCTTCAGATCAAAGAGTTTGAGAGCAGCACAGATGCTGATGTATGCATGGTTTTATCCTTTCAGGCCCTGACCTTACAAAGTATTAGAGTTCCAGGATTTTTTCAAACCAACAGTGGGACTACTATCACGCTCAAAGTTGTGCATTTAGCTGTTGGGATGAAGGTGGTCACTGTTTAGCAAACTGCATAGTCAAGGGAGGTGCTCTCTGCCTTGATGAAACACTCCTCCATGCGTTTAGGGACCACTGAGAGAGGGGTGTGAGAAGCGCTCAGCTCTTCTACTGACTACATAGTAATCCATGAACACTTCCAGAGCTGCTCTAAAGATTTTGTTTTAGCCTCAGAACACTCTTGAGAAAGTCACTTCCCCAGATTTACAGCATGGGCTCTGCTAGAAAAGTTGGGGGTTTTTTTTGGGCCATGCCTTCACTCACCTTCATAATAGGCTTTCCAGTGACCAAGGAAGCAGGGCAAGACTTTGCATCCTGGTGGGAGGCGTAGGCTTTTGCTGCCCACAGATCCACATATCCATCAGGTGTGTAGGGACCACAGTCCAGGACACTGCTTGTCTTCTCGAAGGGCTCGCACACCCCATCCCCATCATGCACATAGCACAGGCTTGGTTCCCCTGCAAGGAAACCAGGGATGACCTGTCTACACACCAGGCTCCAGGCACATAGCGTCTCCGCCTGTCCCAGGAGGCATGCTGACTCTTTAGCCCTGGAATTTCCCACCACAAGGGTCTGACAAGCTCTGCGGATCACTCTGTCTTCAGATCCACGTTATGTTGCAATGAGGTGCCCTGGGAACCAGCATGAATAACATACAGTTCGGACTCCGGCCTCAAAAGGATGTCTCACCCCGTTTGGACTCACCAACACAGTTGAAGCCTTCTTCCTTTTTACACTTCCTGGAGCAGCCATCTCCATCCAGCAAGTCCCCATCATCGCATTCCTCCTCCAGGCTCCTAAGAGGACAACAGCCAGAAATGTTAACACCACCCTTGACTCAACACTTCTGCCCAGTCACAAGCAAGGACCCTGTATCTTGGTTCCATTTCCAGAGGAGCAGGGAGAAGAGAAAGAACCACATGGAGAGGAAGGTAAAGGAGAGAAAACACCATATCTTGCCACGAGATAAAAAGAAGTTGAAAACACAACATATGGGAGAAAGCATGACTGTTTTCTTGGGAAAACTTGAGGAAAGAACTAAGGGACAAAATGGAGCTATATACAACAGAGGAAGCAGGGAATCAAGCATCAGGAAACCTTGCTGTTGGAGGAAGCAAGTGTTTGGGAGGGCAGAAGGTTGTGAGATGGGTCTGCATGTTTCAGTGGGAGCTGGAGGAGGGGAGGCAGAGGAAAGAAGAGAATAGGATAACCCATCTTGTGATGTCCACCCACCTCCACTCTCATCTAACTTGAAAGATCCAATCTTCCCACCTTTGGCTCACTGTTTCACACACAGTACAAAGTTTAAAGAAAAAAAATATCTGTCACAGACATTTTCCTGCACAGCCCTTGCCCACAACAGCCCAGGAAGAGGAACGTCTAGCAGAAATTTCAGCTGCTATCTGCCCATTTCTGCTCCTCTCACTTTTCTATTGACTTTGACAACAGAGTCTAATGTGGTCATTTACTCTTTCTGGACCAAGTCTTGTATGAATTCATGCTAAAATCACATCAGATTACACAGCTTTAGCAGCTGGCCCTGCCCTAAGCCTTTCTGCCTTGCTGGGTTCTTGTACAATACCACAACCCCTCCTACACTTGCTTCAGCTGTCCACTTTCCTCCAACTGGTAAGAAAGTTGTTTTTAAAGGAAAGTATTTTCAAGTAACCTAGAAGTCCAAAAAAGCTAAAATATGCAAATTTAGCATAATTACACCCAGGCAGAACAAACGAACCTTTGGAGCGTCTCAGTGTAGAGGTGGCACAACCCACATCATGTGGGGTCTATAAACAGAGACTAGACAGCTCTCTAAAGACATCATACTTTGTGGGACTGTGCCTGCTGCAGAACCTACTGCTACAGGGCCACCACCGTGTGCACTGTGCAAAAGGTTATACTGGCCAGTCCCAAAGGTGGATCCCTTTGCTGAGATGGGCCAGAATCCAAGCACTTCAGTCAAACACAGAGAGTGTCTGGGCTGGACCCCACATCCACACCCTGCGTCTCAGAAAGACTGTCTCCATATCCTACGCACACTGCATTTCACAAACACAAGCTCTATAGTCCAGTCTGTTCTGGTGATTCAGTGCATCATCTTCAGTCCAGTACTCAGGGGTGGAGGACCGATCCACTGCTTCCCTTTGGGGTAGGGTGACCTGACAGCTTAGAGAACCTCAGCTGAGAGCTTGAGTTTCTTGACTTACATGGTCACCTGCCCATCCCCACAGTAGGGTGCTCCGTGGACATGGATGAGTGGTGGGGAGGCTTCTCCTGAGGTTGTCCCAGAGACTGCCTGCACCTGGTAGTGGTACACCTGCCCAGGTGTGACTTCCCTGCAGGAACAGAGAGGACTTGAAGAAAGAGCAGGAAGGAACAGCCTGTAAATCTGCAACAGGTTTGCTCACCACAGCTATAGAAATCCCATGTGCATGCCCATGCAGTATCACATATGTCAACATGTCTTCATACTCTGAACTGCCAGAAGAAAAGACTGTTGGGAGATGGTCTCTGCCAGGTCATGCAGGGAGCCCTGCTGCTTATTTCCCCCGGGTCTGAGCTGGGGAGAAGTGACAATAACTCAAAAGTCATTTTACTGGTGGAGAAAACGTCGCCAGGTTTAATAAGCTCCTTACAGGTAGTCTGGGCTTGTGGGGAAGGGTTGTGCTAGCATGGTGGGTCTGCAACAAGCTTCCTCAGCATTGAACAGGGAAGCCACTCATGGCATTGAACGTGGCAAGTCCTAGCAGGGGGAAGGAAAAACCCAAAACACAAGTAAAATTATTCAGGGATTCAAAGGCAGGACGTGAGAAGGTCATCCAAAACCAACCACTTAAGCCTGTGATGGAGCAGCCTCATCACTCACGTGTCAAGGAACTGGCGGTGTGCCTGGGCTGGGGCGGCGGGGGATCCATTTGCAAATGGGGGGTCCCGGAGGACTCGGTACTGGATCAGCTTGCAGGTAGAGCAGAGAGAGCTGTGGGGCATGGAGGTCAGCAGGGCTGTGTCTATCTCCATCCTCTCGTCAAAGGTGTAGATTTTGACTCCGGATACCTTTTTTGGGATGTTGAGCTTCACGGTAAAAGGGACATCACAGAAGGTGTCCAGAGGTCCCAGATGGATGGACTCCCCTTGTTCTGTCAGGACTTCAATGTCAGACAGCGCCTTGGGAGAGCCCACAGAGAGGTATGTGGTCCAGAGCGTGAGGGAATCGGGGTAGACAGGGTGCAAGAAGCGCAGCTCCAGGATGCAGCCGTCTGGCTGTGGGCATGGCACTGTCATGTTCATGTGGTACAGGTGGAGCTCTGGACTCCAGGCCTGCAGGCTGGGCTCGCAGGGCTGATCCACATCTGGGGGTCCTGGCCAGGAGGGATGAAGAGAAGGAAGCTGATGAGGGGACAGCTGACCTCACAGGGGACCCAGAGGGGCAATCCTCCCTGCAGTACCCCATAGGTGCTTACCCATCTCTGCTAGAGCTGCACACCCACGGGGTTTTGCACCCACTACAGGCACATGCCAGAGCTGGTGGCATCTACTCTAACATCCTAGAAAGACATAAGCACCACTAGTATTCCAGCTCCTGGTTGTGCATACAAGCACAAGGCTTGGCAGATCTGATGTCTCACAGCCCTCTAAAACAAGGACAGTGGCACCCACGATGGAGCTGGTCACAGTGCCAAGCTTTAGAGACAGCCTGGACACAGCCAGGGGACATGAAGCTTGCTCTGTAGTCTCATGGACACAGAAAGCTTGCCAAGGGCATCTGAATGCCAAGTTCCTGTGGCTCCATGGGTTTAGACACAGACTAAGCAGAGCAGGGACCAAAGCTTTGCACAGACACATGCTGGAACATGTCACAGGCAGGGAGGGACCAGGTCCAAAGCAAGTCAAGGAAGCAATTTGGGAAGGCTGTTCTTCAGCCAGGACTTCCAGGATGGTCCTCAGGCTGATCTCAGACCCCCAGTCTGCCTGCCCTGGTGATGGATTAGCACTTAGCAAGAGAAATGTAGTGTTGGGCTTTCTGTCTCAGAAAGCATCACTGAAATTCATCATCCTGTGGTAGAAATGCTGTTGTCTTCATCAACCATTGCATGCATTTCTTAAGGTCCAGCACCTATTCAAAGCCTGCATCTATTTTGTCTTCTAAAAACCATAAAAATCTATCTTTCACCAGAGAAAACATACACTTGTCATAACTGCAGGTAACACATGGGAGAAAATATCGAATAATTCCAGAACTGCCAATGAGTCAGACAGATGGGGGAGACAGGAACCACTGGCTGTAAATGAGACAAGTTTTGATTTTTTTGGTATCACTGAATAAGCACAAATTTGATTATTTCTTTGATTTCCACCCCCTCCTTGCAATATTAGCAAGCGACGCTTTTCAGACACAGAATCGCAGCTACAACCTGACACCCCTGTTCTCAAAGCAGGGACTGCATCCCAAAGCTGCAACAACGTCCCAGCCACACTTTCTCTGCAGCCACCTTGGCACATTTTCAGTTGACCTCAGTGGCTCAGACGTGGAGATGCACAGAACTAACAGATCCTCCATCTCCATGTAGTTGAGCAGCAGTGTGTGCACTACCTACAGCTCATGAGATCATTTCACTCTGTCTCCTGCCTCCTCTGCTTTGCAGGGGCTGAGGCAGTATGGAAAGCCCAACAGTTCCTATGGCAGTTGCAGGACCCTGAAAGCCACCACCATACCCACGAGGTGGGTCCCTAAACCAACATTTGGGTCTCAGCACTTGAAAAGTTGTGAAACCCTGCTGCTCACCTTGTCAGCGAGGAATTGCATCCAACCTAGATTGCCTGGGACTTGGTACAGGCTCAGCAGGATTGAGCAACGAGTCCCTCAAAGCTCCCTATGAACAAGGTTGCATCAAAGCCTGTGAAATCCCTGAGGTTTTGAATGAGGTCCCAAGATTTATGTTTTAAGACTTTTTTTTCAATGAAATGCCGCTCCCTTTTGACCACTATCTCTCATTAACACCTTCCTGGGCAATGATTGGGGTTAATATCAGGGTGTCAGTTTGTTTGTCCAAAGCCAGCTGGCAGTTATGTGGGACCTCCTGGGGAACTAGAATTCCTTTCTGCACTAAAAACCCTCCGCAAAGAGGAGACATCTCACTCTCTCTGAAAAAAAACCAAAACAAAACATCAAACCCAAACAAAAAAAAACAACCCCAAAAAACCCCAGACAAAACAAAATCCACAAAAAATTTTTTTCTTTTCCCAGCAAGATCTCATCTCTGTCCAGGAGATTCACAGGTGAAGAGAGAAGACACTTACCTTCTGCTTCTTCTGGGGTCCAGTAGCCAGAGGAATCGCAGACCCGAGGGGAAGAAGCCTCATGCACGTACTGATTAAAGGTGCCATCCTCTGCACAGTTGTCACAGATTGTGTCCTGCTCCCTGCATACAAAAGATAAAGGCGTTGTCACATCTAATCACGACCAGTTAATTTTCCATCCACATTTGTCCAGGCAGGATCAGATAAGAAGCTGGAAACGCTTTTAAAAATCTTTACAGTTTTGTTTTCCCTGGGTGAAAAACCCATGGTAGAGAGCTTTACAAAGGCAGCAAACATTGACCTAGGAGAGTCCCCACTGCCCTCAGGCAGCATTTTTTGTTTAATTGCAAGAGACCTCTTTGCAAAGCAGCTTTAAAACAAGTTCATGAGCTCTTTAACATGTGCTTATGGTCTCATAATAAAAGCATAGACCTAAAACCTGGCAGAAACCAAAATGTTTTAGTAAGAGAGACTGCTGATTAGAGGGATTGGTGGTGGATCCAGGTCCTGGTGACTCCTTGGTGACTTGGGGAGAAGGAAGACAGCCACCCGGTGCTCAGGACCACGCGCTGCTCACCAGCCAAAACAACTTTGGTTCCTCGGCATCTTGTTACTGGCTTGAAAAGTTTCCCAGCTTACCCCCAAGTTAGTTACACTGTGAGTCCGTGACAGCGCTGGGAATGAAACCCAGCTCCTGTGGTTCAAGCTCCCTGCCTTAACCACAAGGCTGCATTTCCTCCTGGTAAATAGCTGTTTTATACAATAAGTGCTAAATGAAGCTCATTTTTCATTCCATGATTGCACTCTGGGGTTTAAAGGACTGGCACTGCCTCCCAATGCTCTTTGGCTTTCCTTCCCGGCACCCTGACAGCAGAAAGCTTGTGGGAGAGCCTGTGTGCCAGCAGGACCATCACAGCAGCCTGGCTTTGGTATCTGAGGACTCTGCTGGAGACGACCAAAGGAGGAAAGGGGATGGTATGGGGGAGAAACTCTGCCTAGAAGACTGCTGCGCAAGTCCACGACCACAGCACAGCAGATCGCTCACCTCTCATGGATGACACCACTGATGGGAGGCAGCCAGTAGATGCTGAGAGAGTCTTGTGTCTGCCCCGTCACCATGGGAGGGATTGGGATGGGCGCGGGCTTCTTGCTCAGGCCCCACCGCTGGTACACCAGGTCCAGGTAGCAATGCATTCGGGCCACTTGGTTGGGGGTGAAGGTGTTGGTGCAGTCGTCATCTGGGGGAAAGAAAGGTCGCACGGATCAGCCGGGTGGGACATGAAAACATGCACCCTTCCTGATCTCCAAACCCTGTTTTGGGCACCTCGGGGAAGACCTGGGAGACACCGGCACGTGGTGGCTGAACGCCCCGGACTCTGTGGTGTCATTTGTCCCCAAAGCCACAAGATGGCACTGCCTCAGCAGCTCCAGGTTGTCCCGGCACTTGCTCCAGCCAGCTCCAAGGCCGAGCAGTGCCGCCATCCCCACGGGACGCGCAGCGGGCGGCAGAATTGCTCCCCGGGCTTTGGTCGTCCTGGGCTGCCAGGAGGCACATCAGCCCTCTGCAGCATGTCTTGGAGGCAGCAGGGCTCAAAGGTTCAAAAACCAGATGAGTAGCAGTAATAATAATAAGTAACGGTATTAAAGAACTTTCCTCGGGGCTGGAGAAAAAGGCAGACAAGAACAGCCTCGATGCATGGGAGGGAAACAGCTTGCAGCAAGAAAGGGGCTAAGAAGCTACTGCTTGTAGCCTGCCACATCCCAAATGCAGCAGGAGGGACCACGTCGGTTAGGGAACGAGGGAAGGGACTATTGATGGAGGTAGAAGGAAGAGAACCCCAATTTTCCAGGGAAGGTGACCCCTTACAGTTTTCAGTGATGATTTCCTGTTACCTGTGTAACTCATGTAGTTGTTGAAGGGCGTTCCCATGAAGTGTGTCTGGCCGCAGGTGTCATTGGTAGGGTCTGGATCCCGACAGAGTTTACTCTTTGGTGTGGGGGCAGTGTCAGCACAGAGGTCTCCCGTCTCCATAGATGGAGCTGTCTCCCGGCAGGGATCATCACAAGATTCCCGCTCGCTCACTCCCTTGAAGACATGGTACAGCCCCAGGACATGTCCCACTTCATGAATCATGGTGTTCGTGTGGCCAGGCATACCATAATAAGCAGGGTTGAGGACAACTCCACCTAGAATTGCAAGTAGACAACGTCATCCAGAGAAAGAGAAAATGGGCAAGCCACCATTACTTATCTGTGCAAGGTAAAACTCCTCTCATTGTGCTTACAAGTCCCAAATGAGGTGCCAGATGGAGACATGAAGATGGACATATCCACCTACTTGCGGGATGGCAGAGGCTGGCTTCAGGCAATACCTGCATAGCATGGGAGGCTGTTTTTACCCAACCACTTTTAACCCAGACAGCTTGGAGGGCAAGGTGGTGAGTAGTTGCCTCCCTCACAGCTTGCTCCTTTCTCTGCGGGTCTCTGGAGGGTTTACTGAGCCAGCTACCTCACAGGAAAGCCTCTGCTGCTTCATCTCTGCTGCTAATCGTTGCTCCTGCCAGCAAAGTTAAAATTGGCAGAGGGCCGCCGTGTGATCCTGTCTCCAGCCACACCATAGACTGCTTGAAATCTGCTCCTGAATCAGCTCCGTGCGCTACTGAGCTAACCTCATGTCCTTGAGTGCAGGGCATTCCTTCTAAGAGAGGGCTTTCTTCAGTTTACTGTGTCCTTGGCAGGACACCAGCAGGCCTGTGACTATTCTGGCCGAGCCACACTGGGTGAACACTGGGTTGGGGCTGGAAAGAGGCCTTCAGAGATGCCCTGAGCAATTATCTCAAGACCAACAGGGTTGCAAGAGGGTGAAGAAATATGGGTGGCATCTTCTGTGGAGCATCCTCTGTGTGTGGCTCATGGAAGGGCCGAGGGACACCACCGACCTGTCAAGTGGTATCATTTCTTAGCTGAAAATTCGTGTTTGTTGTTCTTTCTCCCCACAGTGTGGATCTTATTCCCAGGGCAGCTACGCTTGAGGCAAAGGATGGGTCACAAAGTAGCTGCATTCCCTTTCTCTCCAGCTGTAAAACACCAGAGCAGAGGACCTTGCATCACGTCAATCAGCTCTTGACCCTTTAGTTGACTGGAGATGAGCCACAAGAAGGTACAGAGGTTGAAAAATTCTTTTGGGACCTTCATGTTGTGTCCTGTCAATCACTAGGTTTTTGCAAGCCCTCTCAATTCCCAGGCTGGTAAATGCTACAGATAGAAAAGGGCATCCCATTGATGGAGAACTCAGTGGGCACATTAAAAAAAAAAACAACAACAGAAACCCCCCCCAAAAACCCTGCTTCTCATTTTAATCAAAACAGGGCATTAGGGAAGTGAGAACAGAAAGAAAAGGCATCTCTGCAGCCAAACCCCAGCCTGAACGAGGCAGGGGGCTGCCTGTCCGAAGGTCTGAAAGGAAGAATGTGCCTGCAGAAAGAAAATAGCCTTCACAAACAAACGAACGGGATGCGAGAGCCCTGTGTGCATCCTGCAGCATGAACCACAGGGAAGGGGGCTGAGCCCCACAGGCATGGGAGGCCCTGAGACCGAATGACCCTCCTTCCAGCAGAAACCCCATGCTCTTCTCTTGCGGGGGAATGAGTGGGATTCCAGCATGGGGAGGGAAAAAACTGTCACAGGGGAGCGATGCCAAGGCTGGGATACCCTGTCCCTCCCCCTTCTCTCTGCTGGCTTTCCCTAACCCATTCCTCCCCCACACTCCACAAAGACAATCATATTTTTAGTACTTTTCTTTTTTTTTTAACAGCTAATTAGATGGCAGGATTAGAAACAGCATGAGAAACTCTGTCTTCCTTCCAGAACATCCTTGTTGCTCCATTCCATGTCCCCACAGCTACTTGATGAGCTGGGAGAGCTCCCGGCTTTGGACCAGGAATTTGTATTTCCCCTCTGCAGGCTTCTGGCTGTGAAGGCAAGATGTGGAAGTGTTTATAACACCCTAATGAGACCAATCTTCCCTCTCCCTTCTCTGCACATCAGGCCTTCTGCCTCACCTCTACCTCCTCCTACCCTAGGAAATGGGCTAAACTGGGCTTTAAGTGGACTCTCCCTCTCTTGCTTAGAACCAGTCTCCAAGGAGGTCCCAAAGAACAGCATTTATATAACTTCAATGTCATGTCCCTGCGACATCAAGGGGATGCAGCACTCCAAGACAGGTGAAACAGACCCTTCATTGGACTTGCTCATCAAACCAAGACCAGGCAACTGGAAAGCTTCAGGCCTGGCCTCACAACATTCTCTCCCTCCAAACCAGACCTACCAGCTACAGCTGCAGAGCTTGTCATGTTCCTAAGGTCAAGCCTCAACTCTGCTCAGGCAACAAGAGATGCCCAGCCTGCCAGTACAGTGGATGATCAGCACTGGTGGGGACCCCACTTCATATTCACTTACGTGTCTGTTCAGAAGTTCCCAGTCCCAAGAGCTTCTAGCCATGATCAACAGCAATGTCAAAGGACTCTGGGTCAACCCAGCCCCCAAGAAGCCACCCTATTCCCGAGTTGGGGCTGTCACAGAGAACTCATGCTCAAGCAAGCATGGGATCTTTAAACAGCAAACCACAGAGCTGAACCTGTATCACAGGGCCAGTCTTCTCCAAACACTGAGTCACAGCAATTAATGGAACAAACGCATGACGGTTAGTCAGACAGGAAGATGGCCGTTGCTTAAGGTACCTTTGATGGAACGGCTGGCCCTCCTTCAGGATCCACTGACCTCAGCCAGATATATGAGCTAGTCTCAGCTTATATAACTCCAGAAAGTATTTATAACATCAAATGTTCACAATTCCCTTGCCTTTCTACCATGTTTACGCAAATACAGTTTCACATGTAGCTACACATGAAATTTAAGGCGTGTGCGTTACTACATTGCTAGGGCTTTTGAGGCAAGGCTTTCCACTGTGGAAAGCTACGGGTTTTTTTTACAGTGCAGGAGTACTTCAACTCCTTGTGTCTTGTAGTTAGAAAGATTTACTTCTAAGTTCTCAGAAGATTCAGTCTAGTCTTGAACACCAAATTCGAGAGGAACTCACTGCGATTATGGTGGAAATACCGGAACAGATAGTACGGTTAGAAGGAGTGGTGCAAAAAAAAGACATGAGATCTACCTCTGCTGCTATCTGGCTGCAAGTTGTCCCTGCCTAGCAGCTCCATAGCAGCTGAAATACTGGCTATAAAAGCATCATAGACCAGTTCACCCTCTCCAAGTCAGCAATTGTCTCTTACGCTTCAACAAATGTAGTTGCTGTTTGTTGGCATTATGACTGGTCTAGATTGGTTTAAATCATCCCTAAACCTTCAGGAAAGCTGCCTGAAATTAAAATTTACTCAGGAAAATAATCTTGAGAACAGCAACAGGTCTGTAAGTCATCAGAATGGGAATAGTCTCTTATGTTCAAGCATAGGTGGAGAGAAGGGGATGAAGAACAAAGTTCACTGAAGACTTCCAGGAGGTGAATATGCCAACAGGAAGGTGAGGACCACCTTCTTGAAAGACACACTCAAAGACTGTGAAGAGAGTGGTTTCTAAGGACTTCAAGTCCAGATGGCAAATTAACAAACATCTAGAGAATAACCTACAGAGAACAGTTTGAAAATAGTATGTTTAATGAATTTTAGGATGAGAAGTAACATTAAAATAGAAGGTAAAGGCAGATGGAGAGAAAAAAGTTTCATGGTTGTCCTCTTGAAAGCATCTAATAAAGTACAGTTCAGAGACAAACAGCAAACTCTGGCCAAGAGCCACATTAGCTTGTTGGAGAAATCAAGGCAAACTCAAGGAACCAATACAATTCAGGAGAATCAAAGCATGAGAGGGTCTGTAAGTGTGCAGGAAAAAAAAAAGGCAGTGTGGCATTTCTGCTCCACAGGAGAAGACAGTGACATGCGGGGAGCAAGGTCTGTGTTCCAACCTTTATATTTTAAGGTCAAGATAGACAGGAGATTAGCAACTTTCAGTGCAAAGCAAGGAGTCAGTCTTCTTGGAGACAGACTTCTCTCTTGTATAAAGACCTGTCTCCAGCCCAGATCCCCATAAGGTCCTTAGAAGCTCAGGAATTTTTCTCAGACTACTAGGTTCATTCCTCCCAAGGTTTTCCCTGTTCTTTTCCTCACTGCTTTACCCTCACATCTACTCAGATTCTCCAGCTCTGTCTTGCAAGAGGTTTTGTCAAAAGCCCTATATTCATGTTCAGTACTAAGTTTCTTCTGTGCTGGATATTGTGAGTGGTAAAAAACACTTGATGATGTAGTGGAGCCTCCTGTTTCCAGAGCACAGAGTCTGCCACTCGCCTTCCCGAGCTCGTTAAATAAAAGTCCAAGGACAGCCTTGAACCAAAGTCTTCAGTCTGTGCCAGAGCCTCAAAGAAGCTCAGATTCAGCTTCATACTTCACAGCTCTGGCACTAGGGCCAAGACAACACTCCTTTTCCCCTGAACCTCCGTGGTAAAACCCAGATCCAACATTTCCAGATGGTGCCACCTCTTGTGTCTCTGGCTGGACACAAACCCTGAGACTGGAGCAAGCTTTGGGTGAAACCAGTCACCCCAATTACCCCCTCGTAAAAGTCCCTGACAGGCCATTGGGAGGGGTATGAAGAGAACGCGGGTGGCTGAAGCACTTGCTGTAGTAAGATGATTGTCAGGCTGAGCCTTGGAAGTGATTTCTGGAAGCTGAAGGAATAAAATTTCATGGAGATTTGCCTTCCTCAACAAGAAACCGTAGCAATATGCTATTGAAAAAACAGCCCCAAAACTCATTGAGGGAGGGAAACTGGCAAAAAAGAACTTTAAAACAGGTCTTTAACAGCAGTGTAAAAACTTCTATGGCTTGAACATCACGCACTTGTAAAAGCAGAAGTTCTAGGTCTGCTGTGCAGGTGTCAGGAGTAATTATTTCCAGTTACTTACTGAGAAACGCTTTAGATGTTTTGACTGCAAAGTGTAAAGGGCTTTGCCAGAAAAACTCCGACACTGAAAAGGTGGAGGGAGCGGCAGGAAAAAGAGAGACAGCAGAAATGGGAGAAAACACACAACACATTCACATTCTAGTGAAGCAGTTGTCATTCTGACTGTTTAGTAGCCTGCCAGGGCTGATGACCTTAAGGGTCTGCCTGAAATTCACTGAAGCCAAGGAGAACCTTGCCTCTGGCAGGTAAGTAAGCCAAGTTATAAAAACACGGTTTAATTTGATAGCCATCCTCACATTTGCAGCTGGATTTGGAAGCAGCCAGTGCTTGCTGCCTGGTCGGCTCTGGAATGGCTCAAATCTGAAGCCTTGGCTCTGAAATCACTGCTGAGTTATCTGTTCATCATTGCATGCTAAAAAGTGAAATTCACCATTCCCAGAATCCTGGAAGGCAGACCTAGAAGGTCACAGAGAAGCCAAATGTGAGTCTAAACTTCTCTCCAGAGTCTGACGGTCAACCTGGAGCTCTCCTCAAGCTCTCTTTCCTACTGCCTTCACCATAAAAAACTTCCTAGAAGTCCTTTGTCAGGGTGAAACCCCACCATCTTATCACCATGGACATGGGGAACACGCAGCTCCTTTCAGCAGCTGTTATTGGTATACTCAAAGCCCATTATTATGACCTACTTACTAAGCATCCTCAATGTTGAGCCAAACCATGGCTTCTCTTCTTGCCAAGTCAACCAAGACAGGAAAACCGACAACCCTGAGACTCCGTGAGTGTGGTAGTTTACTTACCCAGATGACTAAGGGCCTCTTTATCCCATGGCCAAGTGGCAGCACCAGCCAACTCTTCCCTCACCGAACTGGCAAAGTAAACATTGAGGAAGTGGGTGCTGTTCAGGTGCAGTGCCTCCTTCAGCTCCTTCACACTCATGTACGCCCTGCGAGAACAAGGGAGAGGAGATAGTCAGCATAGATTTCAATGAAACAAAGAGGAAAAACAGGAGCCAACCATAGATATCCCGGAAAGGGTGCAGCCGACCTGGAGAACCCATCCTCAACTCTCTGAAGCCAACAATGTTGGGTAAAGCATGGCAAAATTCAAATGACACTACTAATTGTGCTTTCTCAGGTGCAAGTTCTGCTAGTGAAGGGTTTGGGTGGGAGGCAGTTATGCAGATCTGAAGGAGTTTCGCTGATTACATACCTTTGTTCATGAGTCCTACACCTAGAGGAGGTTTTTCAACAATGAGGACAGGAGAGGTGCCAAAGAAGAAAAAACGATACAAAATGGGAGGAGAAACAATGAGAGAGGAAAGGAAATGCAGAAGTTAGTCTTGCTAGGGAAAAGGGCTTTGGCATCAGAAAAGTGGAACTGGGGGTAAGACAGAGTTGGGGGAACTGAGTTTTCCTCATGTTGTGAGGAGAGAGAAAGAAATGCAGAACTTCAGCTGGTTCTAACAACAGGGTTTAGGGGTCATCCCTGACGCAGTTCAAGGCAAGAATGGATGTCATACCTTATCTTGGGAGCAGGGAGGTTTTAACCAGCTAGCACCGAGAAGTCTTTTCTCCAGCTTCTCGAGTCTCTCTGGAGAAGCTCACAGCCATGGCTCTCCACTCTATCTTTTTCCCATCAACCAGTATGCCAGAGGTGGCATTGCATGGTAAGAACAAGGGGTCCCTGCAGGACACAGGCCCACAACACATCAAGAAACATGCTACCTCACCCCCATCCCTGTGTGCTATGTAAGGAAGAGCATGAGCAAAAGGTATCTCATAACCTGCTCCAAGAAATCTCCCTTCCAGCTCTCCTCAAAATAGACTTTGGAGAAGAGTGCTGCCTAGGTTCTCCCAGCACTGAACCAACACCAGGGTCCTCTTCTCATGAATATGACTCTCCGCATGGGATCTGAAACCTTTCTGAGAGGAAATCTGGGATGTCTGCTGGAGCTAGGACAGGGAAGCAGAGGAGTTCCCAAAGTAAGCCTAACAGGGAGAGAGGGACATTTCTGGAGACAGGGACATGTCAGAGTATGTTTAATGGGGAAAGCCTCCTGACAACACTGCTGGCCATCTCTTTTACCATATCTCCATACCTGAGAATAAAGAGTTGCAGGACCAGAAAAAAAATAACAGAATGGGGATATCCAGGACATTAATTTCTAAAGGGCATGGGAAGGTGCTGATCTGGGAGTGGTGAGTAGGCAATAGGCACTGGAACAGAGCAGTAATGCCCATCGATATGTCTGGGTGTTCACAAAATGAACCTCACAACATAGCATGTCTCTCAGCACTAGGAGAAAACCAAAACCAAAACAAACAGAAAACCCCACAGCAGTCAGGAAATTTAGGTTTCCCTCTGCCCTCTGTGTGGTTGTTTCTGCACAGGTCATAGGCACACATTGCATTCACCAGTACACCAGCATTCTCAGAGTTGATCTCTAGGGAACTCATGTCCTCATCTGTGTAAAATAATCACTGTCTAATTTAATAATGATGATAATGATCCCACCAATAATAGCAGTGGGATTGTAGGGTCTTGGGCTGTGCTGCAAATGCCAGGTACTCTTTCAAATCAAGTACTGCTATTTCCACCATTGGTGCTATTAACTTCATGGGCTGAGAGCCCATTAGAACAGGTAGCCCTAGAAAACATTGTCTCTAAGTCTTCAAAATCTGAAGATCCTGACTTGCGGTTTGTGAAGCCATTAACTGAAGATATTCTAAGCAGGGGAAAAAAACCAAACCAAACCAAAACAGAAAAACCCTCATGGAAAGGCTTCAAATACATCATCATGGAATGACGATGGAAATGCACCATTGTGGAAATATGTCATAAGAATGACTAAACCTGCAGCATAAGGCCAACAGCAACATTAAGGTGCTGGAAAGCATTTGACTTATTCCCACACCTCCAGGAGCAATTGGCATCTTCGAGCAGCACGGAGAGATTATGAAGGGAGTGCGATCATCTCTTTACACTGGACTTGCCGTGAAGGCACACCAGCTGTATTTGAACAAGCAGCTTCTGTGAAAGTGGTGTCCATTAGTGCTTTCCTCACCACATTGAATTATGGAAGGAAGAACAAGAAGTCAAGCACAGTCTAAGGAGAAATGTTCTCATCTGAGATGTGAAGCGAAGGTGGAAACCAACAGGAGATGTGCAAATAGGCTGTTTGAGATGGCAAGACCAGTAGTCAAGTAGTTATACCAATAGTCATGTTTAGACAGAGAGAGGTTGCTACAGCAAATGGAAGAGAAGGAGGAGAAGGTGGCAAAAAGAAAGGAACAGGGCTCCAGAAGTCAGCTAAAGGCAGGATGGCATGTGGAGCAGAGCTTGGTAAACCCAAGGGCGGCCACTTCCCTGGATCTGAAACAGCAGAGACTTTCAGAAGTCTGACTTGGGAAGTGTCAGAAAACTAGGATGTGCTGACCACCTCTCCTCTACCAGTCAGCCCCAACAGTCCATCCTGAGTTGGAGACATCTCATCCACCTTCCCAGTGATAAAGCAGCTCCAAAATTTCAGTCACTTTAGAAAATATTGGCTGGGCTATATGGCAGCATTTAACAGTGAAATGAGATGACCAGCTTGTCTTCACCAGGCCCCAAGATCTCCCACCACAAAGCAGTGTTCCCAGAACACTTCTCCCAAGCCACATCAGCTTGCGGAGAGAAAACTCTCCCAACCGGAAACAGCAAATTAGGAGAACATGATCTCTTCTCTGTGATGTCTCGCCTGAGCATCCCAGACACGCGCCACGCTGACGCCATCCCTTCAACCCAACTAAGACGGGAGCAGGCTGGGAGGAATAGATAGGGAGAAGAATAAATAAACCTGGAGGACATATTTGTGGCATGACTCGGAAGGAAGAGAAGCAACAGTTTCATAGAAATAGAGCATAAAAGAGGGGGAAGGGGGAGAGAAAGTCTCCTTCATGCACCAGAGCAGCTCGGGGGACACAAACTTAAAAATAGCGTTGATTCCTGACCTATGATATCTTGGAAAAATAGCCCCAAACCCTTCCAGGCTGTCCAAATTCCGAGAGCTGACGTCAGCCCTATTCAGAGGGATATTCCCGACGCCTCTCTTCTGGAGACACGATGTTTTTCTGGCTGTCGCCTGCCATTCCCTTGACACTAGCAACATTTTTTGTCAACCCTTAATTATAAATAACTGTAATTTCCTCCATTGAGAGATTTGGATGGCTGAGGGCTGTGTCAGGGGCAAGGGGAGCTGTTCCAGCACTGAGAGATGCTCACATGGATGGAAGAAAGGATCCCAGTTTCACCTACTACAGCATGGAAAGCACAAATATCCTCCTGCTGACATCCTGAAAGACATGACCAAGACCGAAACAACTCCAGAATGGGCAACTCTGATTCCCCTCAATCTACATTTCTTACTGGCGTACTGAGCCTAGACCAGGAGCATGTAACTGGCGTCTTGGCCGGTCACTTACTGCCAAGGTCACGCTCTTCTTCTTCAGCACTTGTGTGATTTTCCCAGGGGGAAGGCAGAGCAGCCTTTGGTCTCCACAAACAGCTTAAATGACAGCCTTCTCCTCTGCTCCCCAAATAGCTTCTCAATGCCTACAAGACTAATATATTTCGAACTAGGTGGTATATTACAGCAGAGCAGGCACTGCAAGCAGACACAAGGAAGGACAGACGGACACACAAAGGCACAGATATCTGCTAAAAAAGCAACCTCAAACAAGAGAAAGGATGGAAGAGAGACAGGGCCATCAGGTTTTCCAGATTCAAAGTCAATTTTTTTTCCAAAGGCATCCCAAAATCCATGCTAGTTTCATGATAATATCACCTACCCTGAGAGAACAGAGCTTGTACAGGCAAGAGTAGAGAGATTAGGGATGGGAGAGCTGTGGGCTGCCATTATTAGAAATGAGCACGGGTATGAACATCGTCCAAAATGATGGCATTTGAGGGAATGAGTCCAGAGATTAGGGCCTCCCTCATGACAGTGCTGACCTGTGGTACTGTTGAATTGAAGTTCTGCTGAGAGATGCTCGCTGACAATCTGACTCTAAGGCAGACTTAGGTACCACACCATGTACCATGCTACTTGGGGAACTCATGGTTGGCAGAAAGCAAGATGGGGAAGAAGCCTGGGCCTTGTATTGCTCTACAGCATCACAGTGAAGCCACAATGATGCTTATGTGGTCCTGGTGCTGCGTCAGGAGCACATGGATCTGTATGGGACTGATAATCTGCTGCTATTATGTGACGTTTCAGGTTGTCTTAAAAACAGAAGGAAAATTAAATACAGCAGCTTCAGTGACTGCGTCACCATAGAATGGTGGAATCAGAGACTCCTAACTGCAGATAGAGAGGACCTCCACAGGTCATCTTGTCTGACTTCCTTGTTCAGAACAGGCCTACTTAAATTATATTTCTCAAGGCCATGTCCAGCTGAGATCTGAGCAGCCTTAAAGACAGGTTTTGCAATTTCTCTTTGCAACCCATTCCAGTGTTTAACCATCCTCACGGTAAAAAAAAAAATTCCTCATGTGTAATCTAAATTTCTCATGCTCCAACTTGTGTCCATTGCTTCCTGTCTCATCATCATACATTTTTATTTAGAGTTCTGTTCCATGTTCTCTGTGCCACCCCATCACATGAAATGAGGAAGCTATCAAACAACTACAGCTTTGCATGGAAATCTTTCTCTGCACTAGACCTTGCCATAGTAATGTCTGAAAATCCAAAGCTTCCTTCCTGATCAGTTGAAAAATCATGCTTCACCAATGATCCCAGGCCCTCCTTGGAGAAGTTTCACATCCCTTGCTCATGCTTTTGGTTGCCCATGGGGCAGATGGCATCTTTGTACTTGTGGAAGTCAAGCTCTGGGCTGGCTCAGTCAAAGTAGATTTGACATAATCTCCAGAGATAGAGCTGTTGCTGTTTTTCAAGGTAGCAAT